CTCTCTCTCTCTCTCTCTCTCCCTCTCTCGCTCTCTCTCGCTCCCTCTCTCCCTCTCTCTCTTTCTCTCGCCATCTCCATCGACCTGAAAAGTCCTGCCATGCTGGGTTTGCGTAGACCGTCAGAATGCCCACACATGTACGCGATCTGTAGTCGGGATTCGCGCGGTGGCGATTACATTGGGTTCAGTCGCCGCGAACGAGCAGTGTCGTGTGATCCAACAGGGATTTGTCTCCGTGAGTCCGATGTGTGATAGGGAGTCTAAAACGTTCGGGGCCATTTGATCGTGACGTTTGATTGGGCCGTGTGATGAAGGCGGAGATCGCGTCTATGTCGCGCTCTCTCTCTCCCGCTATCTCTTTATCTCTCTTTCTGTCTTTTATCTCGTTCGTTTCATTGCGCTTGCCTGTGTCGTTCGCACAAAGTTTGCGAACGTAACTGACAAGCGCAGACAAATGAACGAGACAAAACCAACAGCGTCGTGTTCCACCACCATCGTCGTCAGTTTTCTATCAGTGCCTCTATGTCGTTCGTCTTTTCCGTCGGCCTGCTTTCGCAAATCTAGTTCCATTGGCGACCATTCGCCCCGATCAGATGGCACACTCACACGTCCACGAGGCAGGTCCTGAACAAGCGTGGGCTCGCTGATGGATGCGGGGCTCTATGCGGCAACAGAATGTTGTTGAATAGAGCCCCGCACCCATCAGCGTGGCCACGCATGATCACGACCTGACACGTGGACGTGTGTGCCGTCGTGTTCAACTACCATCTTCGTCCCCGTCGTTAGTTTGTCTTCAGCGCCTTTATTTCGTTTGTCTTATGCGTTGGCTTGTTTCTTTCGCGAACGTACCTCAGGGTGCGTTTGCGGATCTCGTTCCATTGGCGACCACTCGCCCCGATCAGATGGCACAGTCAAACGTCCACGTGTCAGTTCCTGAACAAGCGTGTGCACGCTGATGGATGCGAGGCTCTATGCGGCAGCAGAAAGGATGCTAGGCTGCAATATAGCCTCGCACCCATCAGCGCGGCCACGCATGTTCAGGACATGACATGCGGACGTGTGAGTGTGCCATCTGATCGGGGCGAGATGAAGGAGTTTCGGAAGCAAGAATGCATGCGTTTCATTGGCGATCACTCGCACCGATCAGATGGCACACTCAGACGTCCACGTGTCACGTCCTGAACAAGCGTGGCCACGCTGATGGATGCGGGGCTCTATGCGACAAATGGGCTCTATGCGGCAGCAGAATGGATGCGAGGCTCCAATACAGCCCCGCGCCCATCAGCGTGGCCACGCATGTTGAGGACATGACATGCGGACGTGTGAGTGTGCCATCTGATCGGGGCGAGATGAAGGAGTTTCGGGAGTAAGAATGCATGCGTTTCATTGGCGATCACTCACACCGATCAAATGGCATACCCAGACGTCCACGTGTCACGTCCTGAACAAGCATGGCCATGCTGATGGATGTGGGGCTCTATCTGATCGTCGCCACACATGTTCAGGAGCTGTCACGTGGACATGTGAGTGTGCCATTTGATCGGGGCGAGTGGTCACCAACGAAACGGGACCCGCGAATGCAGCTCGAGAATGGTGCGACACGCACTTCTTGATTGTGTCGTCACTTCAGATGTTTTGTTGAAGTGTTACTCGCTTGTCGTCAATTTGTTGTCTCTCTCACGAACTGCGATATAAGGATTTCAGTCGTATGTTGTCGAACAAGAGAACATGGTTTCTCATGAATCGTGTCTCTTCTGGATTGCACATGGACTTTCTTCTCGCCGAATAAATTTTTATTGCGCTCGGTTTGTTTATTCGTTTTCCGCGTAAGTCGCGTCGTGCAGTTCGCTTGGCGTTCGGTTCTGTATCCGTAAAATGTCCTCCACATTCGTCGAATTTTTCACATTTTTCGCCAATCTTCCTCTCGCCGACACGAACAATTTTTTCTTAAATTTCTTTTGTGCTGTTTTATTAACGGTCACATTGGGAATTCCGAAATGGACAACACCATCCGCAGGATCTGCACATGGAGAGACAAAGAGCTAAAGACAGGCTCTCTCGCTGCGCATCCTCTCCTTATCGACGTCTCTATCGATCTTAGTCTCCCTTTTGTGTCTATGCGGGTTTTCTGCCTTTCTCCAATCTTTGTGTATCGCAGACAGTCGCTCAACCGATCTCAGGTTGGTCCCCCCCTGAGTGCAATCACAGATCAGTAGTCCGAAGACTGCTACGACAGATTTGAAGACACAAGAGGCGAACGTGAATTCAAATCTTTAAACCCTATCAAATGTCGCGTCAGCTGAACGCCGCGAGGAACCCTTCCCTTGACTTGGACATAGGACAGGACATGGAGCAATCAGATGCTCATAGGGTATTGTCGACGGCGACATGTTTGACCAACCAGGAGGACGACAGCCCACCCTGTCCATACCATCTTGTGGTGGCGCAACAACTGACGTATCCGACCCATCCTCGTTAATTTCGGTTGCATCCGAGTCACAACCCACTAAAACTCACGGGGCGACCACTAACCGAGGCACCTCGGCGAAGTTCGGATTAATCCGAACCACACTGACGGCAAATTTGGATTTGTCACATGCTCAGACGGTATTTACGACGTCGCACGTTCCCATAAACGTGAACGACGAAATCACACGCTGTTAAAAGACCGTTCCGTCTCGAATTAATCCGAACCACACCTCCGACAGGATAGGGTCCACCCTCTGCTCACAGGTCATTGAGGAAAACACACCGTGCCGATGTCCTCCTCTTGTGGTCGGCCTAATTCGGATGCATCCGAGTCACAACGTCGGTCTTTCGACTCTGCCCAGTTCGGATGTGTCCGAACTACCACACTGTCTTCGTCTTCCAAAAAGCTGCCTCAGATTCATGCAACTAAAACGAGTCGAGATGGTTACGCTCGGTGGAAGAAAGACGAGCTAGAAACTTGTGCTGCGACTACAGCAAACGTGTCTGTTGTTTGGATTGGGCAAGCAACAACCAACTAAAACTCACGACGATGACGATATCCCCCGTGATGATGCACAGATTATAATGACACACTACAGCAATCGCGGGGAGGTCCGTTGTGTGGTGGAGCGACAACAAAGCGAAGCGCCTTGGCGAAGTCGGATTAATCCGAACCACACCGGTGGCATTTTCGGATTTACCACATGCGCAGAGGTATTGACGACGTCGCACGGTCTAATAAACTTGTACGTCGAAAGCACACAGTGTCGGTGCAGCCTGTCGTGGTCGCACGTAACGGGACAGCCTCTGTCGAAATCGGATAAATCCGAGCCACACCCGTCTTAAACACTCAAGGACGAAGACACACCGTGCGAAATTCGGTTGGACCCGACGACAGCTGGGGAATAATGGAAGCTTGGATGGCTGGATGGGCGTCAACAGACCGTGGGGTCCATCCGCCGGTCCCCGTCTCGGATTAATCCGAACCACATTTGCGAAGTTAAGGTTCAACCAAACCGAACCTCCGGCAGGATAGGGTTAACCCAGTGCTCGCAGGTCGGTGACGAAAACACGTGCTGTAGATGACCTCTTGTGGACGACCATCTCTGGACCGCGCTGTTCGAATTCGGATGCATCCGAGTCACAACCGTTACCGACTCAGAAGGACAAGAAAACTCGAGTTCGATTTCGTACGGGCCGACAGGGAGAGGTCCACACCGCTTTGGAGCTCGGATTCATCCGAACTACAACGGCGGACTTTACAATCCACTTGTCGACTTCGGATGACAACGTATTCGCCTTCGTCTGCCGTATCAGCGTTCTAGGGCCTTCTTGCGAGGTGTTGCTTTTTCCCGGATCAGGTGCCAATGGGACATCGGTTTTTCGACAGCGCCTGCTTCGGATGTATCCGATCTATCCCACGGTCTTCGTTTTCGAGCATTCGTTCTCTTAAGGGCAGTGTGACGAGGATGGTTGACAATGCCTCGGATTCATCCGAAACGTGCAGGCTTGTGGACCACAGTCGTCTAACTATGACTGAACTTCGTTCTTTTGGAGTCCGGGTGACCGATAACAGAATACGTGTCGTGGGTCATGATTGATGTTGAGACGTGCTGACTGTTCTGAGTGAATGTGGGTTCATTTCCTCCGTGTGTTTCAGGGAATGGCTTCACACGGACGAGGCCGCTCCGCTGGTGGTTCCGCCTCGCACGGAGAGGAGCGTCGAGGGACGACGTCGTCGCCGGCAAGGGAAACGAGTCGGGGAGTTGGAGGTGGGGAGGAAGAACGACGTGCTCAAAACTTGTGGTGCGACTACAACAAACGTGTCTGGTATTTGGACTGGGCGAGCCAGGACGGCTCCGACCCGTTGCAACCACCGTGCGGGCCGCTCTTGTTCGTCACCGTTCGCACCGACAGAACGCGTCTCGCAGGGTCCATCGTCCAGTGGGTTGACGATGGCGAATACAATTTCAAGTTTACGTTGAAGAAGCATTACAGAAGTGATGGTTCTGTCGACGGCATCGCAAAGGGATGCAAGGTTGCCGGGAGGATGTTCGGCGGGTATGGTCGTCGTGCGATGTCTTTGACTCACTTTCTCCCGCTAGCGCCGGGGCACGACGAGGCCGTTCACGTCACAGACTTCCTCAAGGTCAGGGCGAAATCTGGTACCTCTGTCAGTGTCGTGGACATTGGACCTVGAACATCGATCAGTGGTCCTGTTGGGTTCGCGGGAGGAGAGTGCTCTGAAAGGGAGATGGGAAGTCAGGGTGGCCTGCCAGCTACACCTCCTGATCAAGAGGTGGGCATGTCAGACGACTCGGAGGACGACCATCTGCGTGCTCCTTTGAAACCGGGCTTGCATGTATCTCGCCGCCACGGTTTGCTTGGGGAGTCGACTCCACATGGAGGCGGCGATGGCGAACGGTTGCGACAGGGCTCAGAATCGACGACTCCTCGTTGTCTGGTCGAAAGGATCAGTTCGTTCGTTCGTGGCATGCAGGTGGCCGAGGTTTCGCCTGGAGATCGAGCGGGTGGTGCGCAGGTTCGAGAGGTGCGTGGGTCAAATGAGACGACTCGCCGGGCCCGACTAGCGCCGGGGGAACTGCAGACGAGTTGAGCCAGGAACGAGAAGCAAGTGGGAACGTCGCCTGTGAGGAGGAGGTGTCCGAGCAGGGGCTGTTCCGTGAGAGATCGGCTGAAAAGACTCGGTCGGGAGGCAAGCGCAACTTGCTGGATGAGGAAGAGCGAGAGGGACTAGGTGCTCTGAAAAGGCAGAGAAAGGTAGGAGGGAGTGCTCGGATGCCAACAACACAAGAGGGCGGTTCCGTTGAGAAGAGGAAAAGGGTTGGAGGTGGGGATGAAATGCCAAAAGACTCCTCGACACAGCGAAGAACCGGTGCGTCTTCCGAGAAAAGGGCGAAATCATCGAGGGGGAAGAAAGCAGACGAGGGCGATAGCGGGGAGGGGGATGACGACGTGGAGATTAACCTCAACGCCTTTAACCTCAACAATGCGTTCTTCCTCGAGATGCAGACAGGGGTGCAGAAGGACGTCGTGTTGCACATCCATCCCGAAAGAATATTAGTTATTCCTAACTGGGAAGACGCGTACAACCACCGATCCTTGGACGAGTTCCTCGTTGATACCATCGCGTCAGCTATGATCGACTGCTACGAACGTAAAGACATGAGATACACGAAGCCCATTTTCGTTCTCGCTCCGATCGTCGCGCCTCCAGAGAACGGCGAGCCTGCTGTGCGCGTGATGCCTGCTGACTTCGACAACTCACACCCGGAGAGATACTGGTATTATCCTGTGTGTGGACAGCATAACGCGAGGGCGGCGATGATGGTGAAAGACCATCCCGTGTTTGATTACTACAACTTCTGTAAATGGCCGTTCAGACCGATCTACTTCCCTGACGACGAGTTCGAAGGCTGCGCCCATGTCAGCTGCGAAGACAACATGAAAGACAAGAAGAATCCACCGCGCTTGCAGGTTTTATCTATGCGGGACATTCGCAATATCTGAAAAATTAAGGGCAAACCGCGTGTGGTGCTCGGCAATGCCTCGAAGAAACAGGACGAGGTGCGAAAGTGGGTGCGGTTCATGGCGTTGGCAATGAAGAAGACGTCGTACATGCCTATCTGAACCTGTCAACGGAAGCAAAGAAAAGAAAGGAATGGGCTAAGAAACTTCGATACTACCTCCCGCTGGCCATGGCAGATGACTCCGTCTTCGCTTTGGGGTTGAAGTTCTATGAGGAGTGGTCGAAAGGGAAACTCCTTGCTTCCGACGGTCGGCGTTGGACTGAAAAGCCGCCCACCCATGAGGAGGTGGCCAAGCCAGGACTCTCCACTGTGACTGACAACCAGGGGCTGAAGAAACACGTCTGGTACGTGAAGGTGGACGACCCGTCGTTGAAAAAGGGCAGGGGGAAGCCAAAGAAAGGCGCGGAGGAGAAAACTTTCTACGTCCAAGTTCCAGAGCCGGATGTCCACTGCTGGAAGGAATTGGTGGACTTGACGGACCGCGAGAAGAAAATGTTGTTGAACGGCGTCTTGAACCTTAACGCCGTGTGGGTTCAAACGAGTAACAAAAAGTTGGCCGAGCAGGGGAAGTTCAGTGTCAAGGAGATGGTCGACATAATAAAAATGGACCGGATTATGTTGAGGCTGTGGCACTGCGTGGAGTTTGAGTACGAGGAAATGGATAAGCGGGGGTGGAATGCCAACTCCACGTTCTTCAGGTCCAAGAAGCAACTGTTTGAAGAGTTCAAGGACAAAGGTCTCGACGACAAGCTTGGGAACGAGAGCAGGAAATTTTTCACGGACACCACATACGTCAACAAGTGCCCTCAATTTCTCGGGTGTCAACACGACAACAACATCAAGAGAACGGCGGCCCTCGTCAACGACCAGCATTTCCCGGTGGAGTGGAAGCGYGTCGTCCTTTCGGTGATCACTGGAGATCGCACAAAAGGCAAAAAAAACCCTCAGGGCGTTGATGAATGCATAAACATTACGTGGACAAGGACAAGCGCCTTGACGGCGTCGACCCGTTGAGTGTCATAGATCATAAGCAGGCGCTGGGAACACTAGGGCATCAGCTACGCTCCCACACTTACGTGCTCGACTTGTGCGGTGCTGTGGACCGTGCGCAATGGGACTCTGGGGCATTCGCATCTCTGAGTGAGTTGCTGGGCTTCRTTTGTCAGGACTACTGGACATTGGTGGTATTCGTCCCCTGCCTGTGGAACCTCTCCTTCATGACATGTTTGTCTACGCTTGGGGCTACCCGATGCTACACGGGGAAGTGGGTTCGGAAGACGGCATCGAAGAAGACGCATCAGTTTGGAAACAGCGTCTGGGAGGAACCGGATGTGATGCACATCCTTTTCAAAGGTGAGGATCCTCGGCTACTGACTCACCCGGTGTACGAGGGAGCTGTTGCTGAAGACGACGACGCCGCTCTCCGGAGGAAACAGAAAGTGACACCCACGGATGTGGAGGAGAAGTCTTTCAAGTCTTTGACTTTCGCGGACATCGGAAACCTGACCCAGAGGGGGGCTCTGTACAAGGACGGCGAGCGGAATCCGAACCAGTTATGCAATCAGCTTCTTTTCTTTTGTGGTGTGGCGGATGTCGTGCTGTTCTTGGGCAAGCCGCACGCGCAGGTGGTGTGGAGTCTGCTTCAGCAGGGAAGGCACGTCTTGGCCGTGGATAGGGACACAACGCAGCTCGAATACACCGTGCAGTATGTCACCCATGAAGTGTCGTCCAAGGCTTACCCATGCGATTTCCACCATGTCGTGGCCGGGCCCGTTTATGACCCGAACAAGGACATGTTCTTCAAGTTGACTCCGAAGAAAAGGCGCCAGGTCTACTCCTTCCTTTACGGCGAACAACCAAGGTTGAGATTTGACCCGYAGTACGTGGTGCGGAAGGAAGTCGCCATTGCGGTCCTCCAGGGCTACCACGGAGCGAGTCGGGCCGGCGCTGTGAGCTTCATTAAGAGGCTGGAATATGTATTTTTTAACGAGGATGTTGTCGATCCGGCCGACTTCACTTTGGATAAGTATAAGCTGGCATTCGGTGAGGAGGACGACTTCAATATCGAGACTGAGCAGGAGGAGAGCGTTGAGGACGACCTCTTCGATTTGGACGGGCAATTGGCCATCTTCAACGCCCAAGTTTCTGAGTCGCCATCAGTATGCAAACCGGGGACACCTCTTGCTGAACCTACCTCGGGCGGTCCCACGCCCGTGTCCTCCTCAGCGCCCGTCAAGAGGGGTGGGTTGTCCCGTCTGAGGAGTTCGCCGGGGGAGCCTATTCGTCTCACGCCGCAGCCCGAACGTCTTCGACCCGGCCATCCAGTTCCTCCGGACCATCCGCATCTCAAGGCTTCTGCGACTCCCTTTCACATGGGCGACAAACACACCTTCTCCACAGCCTAAGATTGGGGCCATGATATCGTGTGGCACCCAGACCATTTCCAGCCCGTCCTTCTCGACGGCGAACGGGCAGTGGTTGTGAGGGACGTAAGTGGAGAGGGGATATATGACGATCGTTGGGACCTCGAGAGATTCAAATCCCGCGCCTACGATGCGGTATTGGAGAGATTAAGTGAGGTTAATCGACGAAATAAGGACGACCCTGCTCTTCGCGAATACGGGGACACGCTGTTCGAGTTCTTGCAGTCAAATAAATGGCTAGAAGTGTCCTCCACGTTCTATGCCCTTCCGTCAAGCCCGTCAATTAAGCAAGTGAGTTGGGAGTTGCCTGGGGTCACCCCGCCGGCAGGAGTTGTGAAGCGCAAGTCTTGCGGAAAGGACGGCGACGGGGATGGTGAAGGCGGCGGGCAACGAGGTACCGAAGGTGGAAGTGAACAACGATCGACGAAACAACGGTCTTCGGGGCACGCAGGCAGCGGAGAGGGGAGAAAGGGCAGCCGGGAGAAGAAGAAGCCTCGCAGCGGAGAGAAGACAAAGCATCACAGAGGAGACGAGCAGGGGGCCGATGTCGACCGCGACGAGGACGGAGGGGTTCTGGCGGTAATAGGCAGCACCTCAATGGAGACAGGGAACGACTTGAGGCCTGGGTGTATTACGCGGCCTGGCGAGCAGGACCCTGTGATTAGCTCCACCAGCGAAACACAATTTGTCGATGCGGTTGGCGGGGCGGGKGTCGCAAAGCATGGAACATGCTTCGCTCAGCTCCAAAAACGGTTGGCGGATTGTCTCGGATCAATCCGAACCTCGGAGACGACCTCGTTGTCCGGAACTCGATGCCTTCCGGGAAGCGAGACGACAACATACCACGGGTCCGGCAGCGACAAGCTGGAACCGTGTTCCGTTTCTCCTCAAAAGGAATTTCGGATTAATCAGAACCGCGAAGGTCGTGCCATCGAGGGAGCACAGCTGTCTACATAACTCGAACGGGTGGTCCGGGTTTCCGAAAACCCTGGCGACAGAATTCGGATTCATCCGAACCAGGAAGTCGTGTCTGCCATGACAGTCGATCGGTGTCAGGATGCAGTAATGTTGTGCGTGGAAGCCCACAAGGAGCTGCAGACGGACTGTCGGACTGAGGGTGAGTTGGCGACCAGTTCCAATGTCGAGCCCAACAGACTCGCAGCCAAGTTAGCAGTCGTAAGCGACTCCCCGGTGAAAGTAGTCATGTCGGCGTCATTGGAAACTACGGGGGCTCGGATGAATCCGAACCAGGGCCCTGTGAACATCTCCCTCCCTGATGCATCTTTGGAGACGACCGTGATTCGGATTCATCCGAGGCACACGGACGAAGGACTTCAACTGGCAGGCGTTGAGGGTTGTCGACTACTGACGACTTTGGACAAGGACAATTCCGCCGACGACCGGATTGATCCGACACTCAGCGACGTCGGGATGGAGCTACCAGTTCAGCCGGGATACGACGATCCCTTGAACTCCGCCCTTCACAACGAGGCGATGGGGGAGGACGTTCTAAAGAAGGCCTCTGACGCTGTTGGAGATAGATTTCTCTATTTGAGTGACGACGACAAAGACACAGCGTACGGGGACAAGAAGTTAAGGGGGGGAGAGGTGTTGTTGGACATCCATGGGACATTTCGCCCAACACAATACGACACAGCGGCAATGGAGAAAACACAACCTGTCGATGTTGTGGACGTCGACGATCTTTGTCCGGAGACGAATATACCGTCTACGGTCATCGACGCCGACATCTCGAGCCTGTCAAGTTTCCCTGTGGGTTTGGAGCACGTCGTCGCCGCGTCGACGCGCGCATGGGGGCCAATCGTGTTGGGACTGTCGTCGGTGGGCTCTGGTGAAGTGGTAGCTAGGCCTGGTAAGCACTGACTTTCTCTGCTTTCTTCCCGCTCGTCAGCCCGTTCGTGAAGTGTTGTTTGCTTCGTCGATTTCGGGGAGGTGTATAGGCGGCCGCCAACTGGATTGTGACGATGTGCTTTGTGAGGTGCTGTTTGCTTGGTTGCTCTTGCGAACTTGTGTTGTTGATCTCCTGCTAAACTGTTTGGGTGGCTATTTCTTGTACATGTCGACGAACTCGTGGACAAACACCCATGTCGCAGGAGCCGCCTGCCCTCGCCAGGTTTTCAGTCCTGGTTGCGGGAGGCACTGGTCGTCGCAATGTCACTGATGCGTTCCCTGGGGACACTTAGCCTTGAGGCCCTCCCAGAAGGGTAGTCGTGTCCGTATTGGGCTCCCGCGCAAGACTCGTTGCAGAGGCAGCGGGTGTTGCCGAAAAAGACTGCAAGGAATTCCTTCTCGAGGCTTGCAGGGATATAAAGGATAGTGCTAGTTTAGAATCAACTGTGTGTAGAAGGTCCAGAAGTAGGGGTGACGCTATGCGTGAACTTTTCGGACCACAGAGAACCGGTTCCTCGGACCATGGCCGCTAGGACGACATTTTCTCATAGTGCACCGTCCTTTGTGTTTGCTGTGTGTTGCGGGTGTTTGTTGAACAGGGTTTCCTCGAGATGGAAGAGCGGTCCTTGAAGACGTTATCTGCTCCCGGTTGCCGCTCACTATCATCGTCGCGCGTTTGCCGTCTCACAGTTTACAGGGATCCGTCAAGGACATCGTCACACTCGTGGATAGATCCGGGGAGCTCAACGATGAGGTTGTCAATTTCTACATGGCGATGCTAACGGACGACTGCGGCCGGACTGCCGCTACCATGAAGACATACACCTTTAACTCCTTCGCCTCTTCACTGCTTCTGCGAGGTCCCGCAGCTGTTCTCAGATGGGCTAAAGATGCCGACCTCCTGTCTCATGACCTCGTCTTGGCACCAGTGCACAAGGACGGTGAACATTGGAGCCTTTTGGCCATTGACTTCTCTAGACGTGTTTTGGAAATCTATGATTCTTTTTCGTGTTCGTCATCCAAAGATTCCTTCTACTCCGCACTTCTGGATAAAACTGTTAAATTTTTTAACACGGTGGCAGGTGCCGCCGGTGATGGTCGCACTTTCGACCACTTCGCTCGCGAGGTCAGCGTGAAAGGTGTCCCTCGGCAGCACTACGGGGCTAGTTGTGGGGTGTTCATGTTGATGTTCGCTTCCTGTTTGGCGAGAGGTTTACGTCCACCTTTTGGTTTCTCCCATAGACACATCTCCTCTATCAGAGCTAGACTAGCTTTGGCGATTTGCGATGTTCGTAGGTAAGCGTCTATCTCTTTGTTGATCATGTAGTGTAGAAGGGTTGACCGGACGAAATTTGTTCCTTTCCATTTTTTCCGTGAGGGACTGGTGGGTGTTCTCGGTTTGGTTGAGAGCAGAACTGACTGTCATTGCCAGGAAATCTCCGGGTGAAATTGTCATGTCCCCGGCGTGTTTGTCATCGACAATATTGTTCTTTCTCATTGGATTTCAATTATCATGAACGTYCCCGTTGTTGGGGCGCCTGTTTCGTGATTGAATATCTCGCTTTCGTCATTTTGTGCCTTGTGTGGTGTGATGTTCTGCCCGGATACTCGGATGCATCCGGACTCGAACTAACTCTATGTTTTTTTGCCTCTCTCCCGAAAATCCCCCCTCATCTACACTCATCTATGCATTTTCACTTTGAATGTTGTGAGGCGTCACAAAGAACAAAATACAACACACGGGCCTTTTTATACATTTGATGGCCCGTCTGGCCCTCCGCACTGTGTGCTTTGTGATTCCGACATTGAATGTTGTCAATTCTTTGGCCCGACAAAGCTCCCCTTCTGCACGAGCATTCATACACTCGGTTCATATGCATTACCCAATACAATGAAAAATTTGAATGTGTCGAGAGGGAAAACCTAAAAGGCAACGCCAATGGCTGCTCGAATGTGACGAGATTTGAATTAAGGTGGCGTGGCTGAAAATACAATTGCATGATTGGACAAAATTGGGTGTGGTGACGGAAGGATAAATCACAAGGCGAAGCCGATTGATACTACAAAGTGACACAAACTGAATTGAGTTGGCACTCATGAACAAATAACCATTGTATGATTCGTGTACGCCTCAATTTCCGAAAAATGAATTCAAGAATCAGCTCTCTCTCTCTCTCTCTCTCTCTCTCTCTCTCTCTCTCTCTCTCTCTCTCTCTCTCTCTCTCTCTCTCTCTCTCNCTCTCTCTCTCTCTCTCTCTCTCTCTCTCTCTCTCTCTCTCTCTCTCTCTCTCTCTCTCTCTCACTCTCTCTCTCTCACACACACACACACACACCCACAGTTGTGTCTAGTGCACTCATTTGTTGTTTGCTTCGGACTTCTTCTCCCCTGTCATCTCGGATGCATCCGAACTTGGCTTACTCTCGCCTAACGAAAACCTTGCAACTCTTGTACAACTACACTTGTGGTTTTCGCGTGTTCCTCGAACATGCGTCTCCTGTGCCACATGTCGACATGAAAAGAAAATTCAGTGCGATCATCCACACTCTGTCTGTCTCTCTCTGTGTCTCTGTCTATGTCCCTGTCTCTGTCTCTATCTCCCTCTCCATCTCTCTGACGCGCTCTTTCTATCTCTGTCAGCTCTGTCTAGATCGTAGCGAAGCGACTCACAGCCGAGACACTCCGGATGGATCAGAAATGTGGTGGATGATGGTACAATGTTTSTCTCTCTCTCTCTCTCTCTCTCTCTCTCTCTCTCTCTCTCTCTCTCTCTCTCTCTCTCTCTCAGTTTCGCAAAAGATACTTCTTGAACTGTGTCCCAAAACGCACAGGGGAAGCTTCAAACTGAAGGGTCTATACAAGTTCGACACTTCGGATACGTCGTGATACGAAATGCTGTGGGTGACTATACGGTGCTTGTCTTTTCCATCTCTCAGCCCTCTGGCGTGCTAATATGTCATTTCTTGCGGGCTTCCGCTTGGTCAATCTCTTGTGATCTCGGATATATCCGAACTTCGCTTATCTGGGAAAATCACATTGACTTGCTGCTCTTCTGCAACGATCATCTGAAAAGCTTTTAAAAGCGAGGCTGATGATCTCCGCGTGTGCTCGACCCTACGCCGTCCGTGCGGCGTCTCGAGAAAATTAAGCAGTCTCTCTGAGACACTATGTCTCTTGCTCTTTCTGTCTCTCTCTCTTTTTCTATATCTCTCGCTCTTCAAATGTACACGACCATTTCTTGCGGACTTCCTTTGTCTGTCTATCTTTTGTGATGTGTATCCGAGCTTCGCTTATCTTGGAGATTCACATTACCTTGCTGCTCTCTTACAACGATCGTTTGAAATGCTTTAAAAAACGAGGCTGATGGTCTACGCGTGTGTTCGACCCTGCGTCTCCTGAAAATTAAGTACAGTCTCTCTAAGACTCTCTGTCTCTCGCTCTTTCTGTCTCTCTCTCTCTCGCTCTTTCTGTCTCTCTCTCTCTTTCTATCTCTCTCGTTCTATACATGTACACGTTCATCGGTGCAGAACTCCAACTCATTCTGGTCCTCACACTTCTAAATACAGGTCATCCTACTCCTCTAAGTCTGTGAAGAGCCACAACTCGTCTTACTCACAAACTCGAGTTTGTGTCATTATACTGTTCTGATTCGGATGAGTGGGATGCTCAACTCCAAGTGAAATTATGACACAGTGTAATATATTACTCTGTTCTGGTGTTCCACATCTGGACACAGGAGATATATGTACTGAGGCAGCAGTACATATAACACAGTGGTAGCAGATATATGTACTGACTCAGAGGCGTATAACACAGTGTATACTCTGCTATGGTGTTCCACATCTGGACACATCCGAACCACGAGAGGAGCGCAACAGATATATGTACTGATTGTGCTCCTCGCCTCAAAGCTGCTTTACTCCTTGTTCGGATGTATCCGGATCTGGAATACTACACCAGACTATACACTGTGTCATAAATTCGTTTCAAAATAGTACACACAATAATATACTATTTTAACGAATAACATGTTGTACCATGTGTAGCCTAGACTTATCGTATTAGAGGCGTGGAAAACGTCTAGAAGATCAAGCTCAGCCATCAATTCGATCGCGAGGTCCAATTCTATGCCGACATGGTGGTTAGCAAAGAGAGGGTTGATGTCATCGAGGGAGACATTCCAGTCCCCTCCAATAATCACATGGTCGATGTCAGGCAAAACTTCCATTAGATGTTCATAAAAATAATATATGTCGGTTCTTTCGGTGGGGGCATAAATGGTCATTATCGCCCATTCTTGTCCTGCCATGCATAATTTAATCCAACACCATCTCCCCCAAGGGTCAAAGTCATGGTCTGAAATATCGCCATCGAAATTCCTATATATTAGGATGGCAACCCCTCCCCTTGAACCCTAAGCAGGCGCCACACCTGGGGACCATGCCACCACACTCCCAATCTAATAATATCGTTCTCATCTAATTTCGTTTCCTGCATGCAAAGGAAATCAATCCGATTGTTATGCATCCATGACTTAATACGACTACGCTTATTACGGCACAGTGACCCCATATCACCCACTCCCTGAACATTCCATGATGCGATTTTCACATTATGCATCCACAGCGTTCCCAGCCGCTGATGACTGGCCCCAAACCGAAGGTACCAAAGATTGGGTAGGTGTGGGTGTAGATCCCGACGAACGGTTGTTAGTCTCCCACTTTTGCAAAAGGAACAAACGGAAGGCATCAGAGGTCAGCGCCCGCAATGTGGGGATTTTTTTTGAGAGCTTCCCAAAGCCGATGCATCGACAGAATCTAAGATATTAATCCTAGTAAGCTCAGGACTATTCAAGGTAGCTAACCAATTGAGGGGGATAAAGCAAACACCATGACTAATCAGCATCGAAAGCGAATCTTGTATGAGCCTGACAACTAAGATTGGATTGATTACCTGGCTTTTCGACGAAGAACTTTAGTGTCGGGACGTCTGGGATACAGTGTACCACAATGTC